ACACACACACACACACACACACACACACACACACGGAAAGCATGAAGAATTACCTGGCTTCTACCCCAGGCCTGTTGGGTGGCTTTCCTGGTGGTGGCCGAGGTAAGAAGTGAGGTGGAGCTGAGCTGTTCACCTGATCCGTACTGACCCAGGATACCGGCCTTGGAATCTTGCTCTTTCTAGAGTGGGAGATGATGGGTGACAGAAAGCTGTCTTCAGCTGACCTACTCAGGTGGGAATCTATGGCCAGTCTTGAAAAGGGAGTGAAGACTTCGTCCTCAGGAAAGGGAACAGCAGCTAGTTTCTCCTCTCTCAGCATATCAGAGGCACTTGGGAGGTCCCCCAGGAAAGACTGTAACTGCCTTCTTTCTGCCAGAAGTTTGACTAGCTCTGGCTGATAGGCTTTCTTCTGTAGAAGCTTTTCTTTTGCAGAGACTGCAGAGGATGGTTCAAAAGTTGAGTCTATTTCTTGTGCTAAAACAGGAATCCGGCTGTGCCTGGTTACAAAGGATGAGCGAAACATGTCCTTTCGGGTGGTAGGACCATGCTCATTCTGTGAGATACAATGATACAGCTCTCCATTTCTAGGGATAACTTTCTCTCTCTTACCCTCTTGGTGCAAAAAAGTAGAGAGGTCTCCCTGATGCCCTGGCAAGTCTTCACACTTAATGTCTTCATCCTTAAATAGCTTATTTTTTTGCATTGCTGCCACCTGGTCTATCTGCCCTTCAGCATGTGGGTCAATGACTTGTGGAGAAATTTCTGAAGTTCCAACTGCCAAAAGCTTCAATATCTCATGGTTTTTTTCCTGATTTGGCACCACACTGAAATTCTGTATCTTTGACACATCAAGAGGTTCTGTGGTAGCTGAATGATCCCTACCTGCACTTACTAAATCTCCTGGGAGAGAAATTTCAACACAATGCTGTCCTTTGCTTAACTTTTCATCTTCATTTTCTGAGCCCAGAAGATTGCTTTTCTCTTCTGTTTCTCCAGGGAGATTTTCAAATTCTTTCACAACTAATCTATTATGGTCAGGAAGGTTTTTTAGTCCCAAGTCTTGAGATGTGTCACCATCTCTCATATTGGGTAACATGTCATGACCAATGTGATCTATCTGAAGTCCTAAATCCATTCTGCTTCCTCCACTAGGAAGCTCACCCTCTGTTACAACCAGGCCCGAGAAGTTTTCCCTTGGAGAGTAAAGTTCCACAGTGGGCTCCAAGGGCTGAAGATCTTTTTTCTCTGGTTGTGGGCCATAGTGAAAACTTCCTGAAGTTGACTGTGTTGATGCCACAGAAGGTCTAGGAATTGTAATCTGGAGAAGCAAAGAGAAAAATGTAAAAACAAAAACAACAACAAAAAAATCCAGTTATGTGGTGTATCAATGCATAGTTTGAGATATAATACATCAGATTTCAACTTATAAGAATAATATAAAATGTATAAAAATGTAAACCAGCTTTTCCCAACTCATACTAAATGAGCGACTGTGAATAAAAATGAAGGACATCCAAGCTCTCCTTAAAGGTGCTACACGGAACAAACAATTCCCCGGGAGGTTCTTTCTGCTAGTTCCTGAAAAACATGTTCTAGGCCCCAGAGACTGACTTCAAAAGGCTGCATGGTCCTTACAAATGGGTGGCCTATAATGAGTAAATTCTATTATCATTACACTAAGGTCAGTTTTATTGTGAATACAATTCAGTATCTTTTTTTTAAAAAGGCATTTTGGAGAAATCAAATTAACTTAGATCACTTAATGAAGATCATTAAGTCCTAGGAAAACAACCAAACAATTCTAAATTCAAATCCAAACGAAACTAGAGTAGTTATGGGAGATTTGGTTTAGATTCATTCTCCATCCAAGTATATAAAAATTCTGGTATGGGTCCAGAGTCAGCTAAGGTGTTTGAGATCAATTTCACTGTGTGTCAGGAACATAATTAGGTAGGCAGACATGTAAACCCTGCCCTAAGTCTAGGCAGAAAATCACCTGAATGACATGTGAAGTAACTCCCAAATAGGACAGGCATGGTGCTATATATCTGTAATCCCAGCACTTGAGTGGTTGAGGCTCAAGGAATTTGAGTTCCAGGTCAACCCAAGCTATGCTCTAAGATTCCGTTAAAATAAAAATAAGGAGCTACAGTCCCGAGGATGCTTCAGGGGAATCCCAAGACAGATGACTTGGGTTCAGAACACCCGTACATATAAAATAAACTTAAACAAAACAAAACCAGTAGAGACCAGGTGTGGGGCACATACCTTTAAACACAGCACTTGTAAAAACATGGATATCTGGGAGTTCAAAGCCAGCCTGGTCTACATAGTGAGTTTCTCTGTAGCTAAGGTTGGCCTAGGACATGCAGCAATGTTTCTTCCTTGGCTTCCTGAATATTGGGATTACAGGCATGACCTAAAAATCCTAAGCAAAGGCTAGAGCTCAGGGGTTAAGAGCACTGCCTGCTCTTCCAGAGGTCCTGAGTTCAATTCCCAGCAACCACATGGTAGCTCACAACCATCTATAATGAAATCTGGTGCCCTCTTCTGGTGTGCAGGTATACATGCAGACAGAATACTATATAAATAATAAATGAATAAAAATCCTAAGCCAGATGGAACTCTATTTGTACTAGACTTCTAATTAGTCCTAGCTTACTCCTTTGGGCTAGTTTTCCCTATGCTACAAACAATTGTACAAAGCAGGCCTCGAGAGGCTGGGAAGGAAGATCAACTAACTAAACTCTGACTGGAGAAACAAGGTCATTTATTTATTGACAAGTTATTACTAAGTGTTCACTGGCATCAAAACACATCAAGATGTGTTTTAACAAAAACTATTTCAATTTGGGGAACAATGCTGAGGCTAGTATGTTAGAAAGTAAGGCTACGCCAGGCAGTGGTGGCCCATGCCTTTAATCCTAGCACACAGAAGGCTGAGACAGGTGGATCTTTGAGTCTGAGGGGAGGGGGGCCTGATCTATGGAGGGAGTTCTAGGACAGTCAAGGCTACACAGAGAAACCCTGTCTTGAAAAACAAAACAAATAAAAACAAAAGAAGGAAGGCTACTTAATGACTATGCAGGTGCCTGCCACCTCATTAAAACAAGTGTGTTTGTAGGCTACACCACATTCCTTTCCCTCCTGCTCACAAAGCTGCTGTTTACCTTCAACAGGGCAACTGTTCTCAATGAAATGCTACAGGCTGGCAGTACTGTTCCCCCAAAAGGTTTCTTTTCAGAAAATTTAGTCACAACTGTCTTCAAACACTTCAAAATGAAGACTTCATTCTACACCAGCCTTAGAAAAGTAGAAGTTCTAGAACCCAGAATTGAAATTCTGCATTTTACATAGTAGGCATCTTGCTATTAAGGGAAATGTAGAAAGAGAAATTTCTGGGTAGTGATTTTTTTTTTTTTAAAGCCTTGGGCTTGTTACCAATATATAAAGAACAAACTACATTAAACACAGGCCTTTCTTAGCAGATATGTAATGAAATTCTTCAGAATGATAAAAAAAATTTAGAATAATTTGTATACATAAACACATAAATAGGCAGATGCTATAGTCTAATTATAAATTATTGCAAAATTAGGTTATGATACTTAATTTGTTAAATTCGATACTAACAAAAGCAAAATTCACTTAATTTTTTTTTTTTTAATTTTTTGAGATAGCATCTCATTATGTAACTCTGGCTGTCTATAGACCAGACTGACCTTGAACTCAGAGATCCACTTGCCACTGCCCTCACAAGTGCTGGGATCAAAGGTGTGTACCAGTACCTCTGGTTTTTATTTTTTCCCCTATTGCAGCCTCACTATAGAACTTAGTGTAAAGAATGTAGTTTATACATACCCATTTGCTAAACTTAAACCTCTAATTGCACAGTCTTAACTGACCAACTAACCTACCTTCTTTTTTCTGCTTTTCTTTCCTTTGTTTATTCATTTACTTAGACACAAAATCTCCTTATGTAACCCAGGTTGGCCTAGAGCTATGTATCCCACACCAGGCTGGAATTTACGTGGTCCTCTTTATTTAGCTTCCTAAAGTCTGGGGTTATAGCTGTGGACCACCATCCCCAGCTAGCCTTTCTTTTTTAAAGTGTGTATGTGTGCATGTATGTGCATGTGCGTAAGAATGTGTTTATAGTGGTTGGAGAGATGGCCCAGCAGGTAAGAGCACCAGTTGTTCTCCCAGAGGTCCTGAATTCAATTCTCAGCAACCATATGGTGGCTCACAATCATCTGTAAGGGAATCTGATTCCCTCTTCTGGTGACATGAAAACAGAGCACTGACATATAATAAATAAATAAATCTCAAAAAACAAAACAAAACAAAACAACAGAAGAATGTGATTATGTATGTGGACAAACATGGCTCTCTCACTAAATCTGGAGCTTAGTGAACTGGTTGGACTGGCTGGCCAGCATGCTCCAGGAGTCTATCTGTCTTTGTCTCCCACTTCCTGGTGCTGAAATCACACGTGTACTGCCATGCCTGGGCTTTATGTGGGTGCTGAGTATCTGAACCCAGGTCCATATGTATGCATAGCAAGAAATTTAATGATTGAGTGATCTCCCTTGTCTTTCTTTATTTTTTGTTTTTGGTTTATTTTTGTTGTTGTTTTAAGACAAGGTCTCACTATATAGCCCTGGCTGTCCTGGAACTTATTATGTAAAATAAGTTGGCCTTAAACTCACAGAGATCCACCTACCTCTACCTCCTAAAAACTGTGTAAGCATGCTCAGCCCTAGACTTTTCTTTTCTTTCTGATTTGTTTTTTGAGACAGAGTTTCTCTGTGTAGCCCTGGTTGTCCTATCCTGAAACTCACTGTGTAGATCAGGCTGGCCTCAAACTTATGGAAATCTACTTGCCTCTATTTCCCAAGTGCTGGGATTAAAGACATATGCCACCATGCCCGGCTCAGGCTTTTCTCAATGGCACCTTGAACACGTAACACAGACAGTGACATACGCAGCTTCTTACCGCAGTCAGGGGCCCTTCTGCTTGTGCCTCCATTGGACTTGTGGGAGTCACTGCGATGAATTGGCTTGCAGCTCCGGCCTGGAGATCTAGCCGATCCGTGTAGAGTTCTGAAGCAGCAGTAGCAGGGCACTCAGCAGACAGTGCTAAGACCGCCCCTGAGCTTTCCTTCTTCAGGTGGTGGTTGTCGGTCCAAGGACCTACTTGGAGCTTTTCATCTTGAGGTGGCCCCTCAAGGACCTGGAGCACTTCCGGCTCCTCGTCTGAAGGGCTTCCAGTTGTTTTATGGCCTAATGCCTCATTTGTCCTAAAATCCTGAAGGTCTTGCTCCTTGTCCACAATCACCCATTCTTTGGAATCAACCTCCTGTTTGCAAGAGCTTAAGTTAACAGCTATAAATCCATTGCTGCCGCCACCATCTGCCTGCTCTGGGGTGTTGGCAGAGGCAGGCTTGGAGGCATCAGGAAGGTATTCTTCATCGTAGTGCCAGATGTGGTCAGTGCGGGGCACAACAGGAACACAAGGCTTATGAGGCAGAGCAGGGAGAACAGATTCCTTTCCTGCACTGGAATCTTTCTGCATTTTTTCCATGCTTAAGAAAATGGAAAGAAGTTACTCAATTGTCCTTAGAGAAACATTTGTTATATATATTGACAAACTCTGAATATGGAACTACCATTCTTACAAAAGTATGATGGGTGCATATGCAAAAGCAGGAAGAATTCCACAGGGTTGATAATGTTCTCTACTTGCAATTCTGCTCTACCCCCAACACTATCCACTTTTAAAGTCTCTCTTGTTAGTCTAACTCCTTGCCAAACTTTTTATTCTTATTGCTCTCTTAAATATATTTCTCATCTTAACTGTAATTCAAAATTGATGAAATCATAGTTCAAGTCTAGTCCATCCTTTTGATCATATGTAAATATATAATAATAGATGACCTTAAATTTCTGATCCTCCTAACTGTACCTTCCTAAAACTGAGATTACAGACATGTACTACCACACACACTTGTATGTGGTTCTGGTACTCTGCCAACTGAATTATAAACCCAGCCAAAATCTCCATAGCCTCTCTTAACCTAACATTTCATTGCCAACAGTCCCAGAGTTGGGACTATAGTGTACATTACCACATACAACTATCTCTGAATTCTCTTGAATCCTTTTATAATTGGTAAATGGACCTCAAATCTTCTTACATTTTCATTGCTATCTTGTTAACAAAATTTGTTATAGGGAGAATGCACCTAATGGATCAAAAGCAGCACTTTTATATATATATGTATGTGTAAAGTATATATATAAAGTTTAGCTTTCCTTCTTACCTGGGAGATGTGAGTACCATAGGGCACGATGATAAACTTACTAATATGTATTTTTCTACTGCATCTTTTCTGTGTGTTCCCCTCATTCCTGCCTAATGCTGCCTTTATTGTGCCCTTTGTATCCAAAAGTGTTGCCTCAAGAATTCACTTTCTGACAAAGTCACTGCATATATGTTCATTTTCTTACTATATCTGGTTTTAGGAAGTTAGCAACTCTCAAAGACAAAGACTTTGGTATAATTTGTAATGATATTAGACAGTCACATTTAGAAGGAGGATAAAGACAGTCAGTGCTGGCACACACCTTTGATCCCAGCACTTGGGAGGCAGAGGCAATCAGATCTCTGTGAGTTCGAGGCCAGCCTAGTGTACAAAGCAAGTCCCGGACAGCCAGGGCAACCCTCTCTTGAAAAACAAAAACAAAACAAAAAGAAAGAAAAAAAACCAAATGAACAAATGGAAACTTAATGGAGTCAGTGTTATAGAAACACAAAAATATCTTATTTGAAAGAATTTACACAATAGATATAAAATATAATAATAATCGTAACATGAAAGCTTTCAAAAGAAAGAGAAAGGAAAAACATACATTACATACCAGGTCTCAAGGAACTTGTCAGTGTCTGGCTTTGGTTCCAGTGTCAGACGCTTTTCCAGCTCAAAGCTGTGAATGGAACGTAGCTTCCTCACTAGCGGAACATCCCTGTCTGGCTGAGTAATCTCTGATCGCACACGAATAGGTGAACCAAGGCTTGGAGCATTGAGAATACCATTTATTTGACCATGGCTATTTTCTTCTTCAGTAGCAGCCTAAGGAAAAAAAAATACAAAATAGAATCAAGAAAAATATTCCAATAATTATACATGGGAGAAATAACTGGTCTTTGAAATAATAACAAATGATTATATTTGTTTTCAGAAAATTAAAATTTTAACTTTAAGAATTATACTTATATACATAAATATAATTGCTTATTTACTTACTGTATATACGTGCATATGTGCCCTTACCACACGTGACTATGGAGGTCAGAGGATAACTTGTGGGAGTTGACTCTCCTTACATGTGGGCTGCCAGGCTAGGTAGGAAGCACTTTTACCTCCTGACTCCCCTCGCCAGCACAGAAAACTAAGGTATTTTGACTCTGGGGCTGGAGAAATGGCTCAGCAGTTAAGAACATCTATTGCTCTTGTAGAGGACTAGAGTTTGAGTCCCTGCACCACATCAGGTGACTCAACAACCACCTGTAACTCCAACTCCTATGGATCTGAAGCCTCTGGCCTCCACAGGTACCTGCACATACATATGTTATGTATAACTAAAAATAAGTAAAAGTATTTAGAGAGTAATGGTTTCACTTTATTAAATTTCTGTTTATCAAGCTTTTATACTAGGTTTATACTCAGTTTTAATATTAATTTACTTATTTAAAACAATTTTTGGTACAAGAATAGTCTAAAAATGCTTAAACTTTCACTTCTTACATTATTTCTACTTAGATGCTTGCAGAACCCTACTATACTTAAACTAAATAAAGGATGTTATCTCTGAGACATACAGACATCACAAGAGTTAGAAGAGACTATCAACACTCTCTTACCCCTTTCTAATTTCCTTCCATAAAAACAAACAACAAAACCAATACCTTGAGCTAGAACAAGAAGCTTCCAGCAGCTGCTAGGGCAAAGCAGAAGTCTGGGCATGGAGTAATACAAAGGGAGTTAACCCAGGCTTCACAGAGTCTGTCTTAAACCAACCAACAAATCCAAACAATCAAAGCTCTCGGTCTGGAGAGAGCGCTCAGCAGTCACTAGCACTCAACTGCTCATCCAGGACTTGGACTCAGTTCCCAGCACCCACATGGCGGCTCACATCTGTCTCTATCTCCAGTTCCAGGGGCTCTGACATGCTCTTCTAACCTCGGTGAGCACCAGGCAAACAGACAAAACACATACACACATAAAATAAAGAATTGAAAGAAAAAAAAAAACAAACAAACAATTAAAATCCAGTTGTTCTGGTGCCTTAAGGACTGCCAGAGTTGACTGTACAAAAATCAGATACCAAGGGTCTGAGGTATGGTTCCATAGTATTGTGCTTAGCGTGACTGGGTCCTGAGTTCTGTCTCCAGCAGCACACACACAATACTGGACCCTACTTTTTACAATACATTCCTGGTTGCTCTGAATGTAGACAACATTCACTCAATAGTCAGATCACACTGCTGCATTAATGCTTTTACAACTGACTGAAAGTATGTCCGGAAGGGTAGAATCTGAGCCTCTCTATTCTCATGCTGAAGTTCACGTACTGAACTCCTAATTCCAAACAAAGAAAATGGAGTATTTGGGAGATGACAAGGTCACTGAGGCAGAGTCCTCTAAGATTGGTGTCCTTATAGAGGGTCCTAAAGAGACCCCCAAATCTGCCTTGATATTTGACTTTTGAGAAGCCAGGACTATAAGAAATCAAGTTCTTTTGTTTGCAAAGTACCTATTTCATGATATTTTTATTATTAGAAGCCCAAACACACTAAGAATATACTGTTAAAGATTTTTTTCTTTTTTAAAAAGATAACGTTTCACTTAAATAAAAGAGTATTTTTATTTCTAATTGCATGCCTGTGTGTGCGTGTGTGTAAGTATATGCACATGGAGTATAGCTGCTCTAAAGAGTCCAAAGGCATCAGCTCTCCTAGGGCTGGGTTAAAGTCTGGAAGCCAATGGACGTGGTTATGTTGTGAACTGAGCTCAGGTCCTTTGCAACAGCAGTACAAGCTCTTAACTGCTGAGCCAACACTCCAGATCCTCCTTAAATTAAGATAATCTTTTGGATAGCATATAAAGAACTGGCTCTGATATTTTCATACATATATATCATTATGCTTTGTTCTCATTTTTATCCCCATGCAACCCTCCCCTCTCAAAGTTTTACTTACATAATTTAATAAACGTACAAAGATAGGACAAACTCCTCAAAATTACCACAGATGATTTTGAGAAGATATAGTCTCACTTATAAAAGTGTGACTAGCCAACTTTCTACCAACCACATTTGTAAGGCCGAGCTAAGCCTCAACCTTTTTCCATATTAAACCATTTGTTGGTGTTGAGACTGGGTCTCACTATGTAGCCGTAGCTGGCCTCAAACAGAGATCTGCTTGCCTCCCTACCTCCCAACTTCTAGGATTAAAGGTGTGCCACAAATCTAGCCCAACTAAACTTTCTAAAAAACATTTCAATAGCACATGACAACAACTGCTACTGTAGTGAAGGCCTTTTCAATATTATCTTTCACAAAAGGAAAAGAACAAATAAACAATGAGACCAAAGAAAAGTCTGGGGATTATCTGCCTAAAATAGTTAAAAGTCCATGAATTTTTCTTCCCATACTCACAAGTGTACCTCTTTACAATTCTAATGAAGAAAGTCTTATCTTTTATTTATCATCCACTTATCAGTTCATGATCAAGTGTGATCTTTGATCTCTCGCTCCCTGGCATCTCCACCTTATTAGAGACAGTTCACCAAGGCCATGTGCAGAGCTCCACTGATCAGAGTCAAGAAAGGGAACAGGGATCTACAGATGCTTCTTTTCTATTTGTTTTTCCATCCTTCCTCCTTTCTTCTGTTCTTTTATGGTGGTGATAGGGATGGAACCTAGGGCTTCATACATGCTAGGCAAGTGATCTACAATTAAGTCAACACTCCTACTCCTGACTTGTTTTAAATACCTATATCTTTTCCACAAAAACACACCAAATATTAATGCTTGGTACCTAAGCCTGAGCATTTTGGACCACATTAGCAAAAATATCACAATTTCATATTTAAAGTAATTTAAAGTAATTCTCAAGGGGGCTGGAGAAGTGGCTCAGTGGAGAGGTAGCAGAGAAGATCACTGGCAGAGGACTGAGTTTGGCTCCAGGCACTCACAGGGGGACTCACAACCATCCGTAACTCCAGTTCCTGGGGACCTGATGCCTTCTTCCGACCTCCAGAGATCCCAGATACACATTGGTGCAAATATCTACATACTTGGAGGCAAAGGTTCTATACTTAAAAAAAGCTAAACAAATTTTAAAATAATTAGCAATACTTTGTTCTACCTTACACTCAAAACTGAGAATAATAAACTAGTGGGATTATTTAGTGGATAAAAATTAAATAAAATATAATGACATCATTTGCCCCCTTCCCTTCCTCCCTTCAAATCTCCCCATGAACCCTTTGCTCTCTCAACTCTCAAATTCATGGCATCTATTGTCATTACATATATATGTATGTACCTTCCTAAATACCTAAACCAATCTGCTTGGTCCATGATGTTATGTGTATGTTCAGGGCTGAGCAGCTACTACTGGATAACCAGTTTGGGAGGTCTTCCTTGGTGCAACTATGGAGTGCTGAGTGAGACTGGGATGACCAGGGTTTAATCTGCAAAACTTAAGATGATAGAAAGAAACACGCATGCACACACACACGCACACACACACTAAACTGTGTAGCAGTAAAAGTAGTAAGTACATAGAAAGTTATCACTTTCTATTCAAGAAATACATACTTTACAAATTCCAAGCTTTATCTTGTTCTTGTTGATATCCATCTCTTCCCAGACATCCTTTTCCTGTGGGCGAGGGTGCCCCAGAGATCCAGGCAATTTATCTGGTGATACACCAACAGGGATGCCATTCTCCCCATCACTAAGCTGTTCATCTGGAAACACTTCATCTGTATTTTCTCGAAGTAAGTCTCCTGGGATGGGGGTGGCATTTGCAATTCTGAAAAGTAAGGGGGGGAAACCAGAAAACTTCAAAAAAAAATATAATCAAAAGTTACCATGAGACTATACTACATTTTGTCCCTAAATTTAAGTGATAAGTCTATATATAATTAAGAGTTAAACAAGACCTAAAAGTCTTTTAATATTAATTTTATTTCAGTTGTACAAAATGAACATTTTTTTTAAATTGTGAGAAGTCAGAATTTTCAACATGGTTGGACGTGCTGGTACATACCTTTTATTCCAGGGCTCAGGAGGGAGAGGCAGGTGGATCTGAGTTCAAGGCCAGCCTGGTCTACAGAATGAGTTGCAGGACAATCAGGGTTACACAGAGAAACCCTGTCTTGAAAAACAAAGCAGAACACCTACAAAAACACAAAAGTGAAAACCAAAACCAGCTGGCAAAAGATCAATAAAAAGACAAAGAAATTCCCTAAGTGAAACAAAGCAATATGCACTGCTTTTTCACTACAGAGTTTACTAAGAAGGCCCCAGCAACAAAAAAGGAGAAAAAACTAGAGTTTTCCATCTGGGGAAAGCAGAAATTCTGAAATTACAGAATTCTTAGAGTTCTACATGAGAATTATACAAAATATGAAAAGGTGTTTTTCTATCCATTTCTTTTTTTTCCTTTATTTCAAGAGAGGGTCTTACTTTGATCCCACATTGAGATTGAGTACTAGATCTCCCCAAATCCTGGGATTATGGGAGCATGCCATCATGATTAGCTATATATATTTCTTTTGAATGAATTCTAGGTCCTATTTACATAGTTGTCATCACTCAGCTTACTGGTCCATGACAGGCTTTTAGGTTTTAGTCATCACTTCCTAACACAAAAGGCCTCTGATAACTCTATGCTCCATAAATACTAGTGTTTTAAAAAATATTTCTAGTTGAACACCATATTTAGCAAACAAAGAAACTTGTAACAAGTAACCTAGACTAGCTATACATAGGAGAACAATCTTCAGTGGACTCTGCTGACATATGCCATTACTGTGAGCAACAAAATAGATAACCTTGCCAGCCAGGCACAGTGGCTCACACCTTTAATCCCTGTGCTTGGGAGGCAGACGGAGGTGGATCTTTGTAGGTTCAAGGCAAGTCTGGTCTACAACATACCAAGTTCTAAACCAGCCAGAGCTACATAATGAGACCTTGTCTCCCAATAAAACTACCCCTACAAAACAAACAAACAAACAAACAAAGGAAACCTTCTTAAGCAACCACTCTAAAGGTAATGTGTGTACCATGGCATACATTTTCTCAGAATGCTTCATTTTCTTCTGTGAGCACCAGTGATTTCCCAAGACTTGTTCTGATTTCATGCCCTTTGCTACTACTTCTGCCTAAGCTGCTCAATTTTTTTTTTTTTTAAGATTTATTTATTATGTATACAATGTTCTGTCTGCATGTACACCTGCACTCCAGAAGAGGGCACCAGATCTCATAGATGGCTGTGAGCCACCATGTGGTTGCTGGGAATTGAACTCAGGTCCTCTGGAAGAGTAGTTAGTGCTCTTAACCTCTGAGCCATCTCTCCAGCCCCTAAGCTGCTCAATTTTAAATGATCTCTTTGTATATTAACAATTTAAAAATTGATTCTTCCCTGACCCCAGTTCTCACAAGAAAACCTCACAGTCTAGTAAAGCAACCCCTGTAATTCAGACACAAAAAACATGAAAAAGGTAGTCTGGTCTGAAACACTCCAAATAGGAAAATTATTAAAGATCAGAAATAAAGTGAGCACTGAAAGATTTTTCAGATATGATTCAAGGAAAGTTTACCTGGATGGTTAGTTTACTGATCATAACTTTCTTCAGATTTTGAAGATTCATCAACGTTCCAAATACTTTTCCCTTATGCCCATCACTCTCCTCTGTAACTTTCCCACTTCCTATTTCCTTTTCCTACTCCTCAGGAATAAACCACACCTGTGCCCAGCTTTCCTCATCTGTTACACCATATCACATACTACTGGGAATTCATCATCTTCTCTATATAGGCTCTCATCCACATGACTCGGGTTTCTTTGTATTTATTCCTTATATTTTTATTCCTTCCATATTATCTTTCCCTTCTCCTAAACTCTTTTAATCTAGAGTTTGCCAAAAGAGAGAAACAGTTCCTCACCAAGAAAATTATGGCATGTTCAGGATTATGAACACTAAAGGGAAGGGTTGGAATGAGCTCAGTTGGCACAGCACTTGGCCAGCCATGGATTCATGCGTAACACCTTTGAAAAAGAAAGGGAAGAAAGGAAGGATGAAAAAAAAAAGAAGAAAAGTAAGTAGAGGCTTCAGAGATGGCTCAAAGCACATGCTGATCTTGCTGATTGAGCCTTGAACTCACAGAGATCCGACTGCCTCTGCCTCCTGAGTGCTGGGATTAAAGGTGTGGGCCTCGGCCACCACCACCCAGCCTCCCATATATTCTTTAGAAATACAAAAATGTTCCCTCTATTTTGAAGAAAACCTACTGTCCCTCTGATATCAACAACTCACATTGGCTCTAAGCTCCCATTTCATAAAAGGAACTACTAGTATTTTCTGAATTAAGTAATTCCAAAATCATAAGAAAAAGATTAACTTGAGGAAATGTTCTTGGCTTTCCCACATCTTAGCACTTAACAACTTGAAGGACTCAGGATAGACTAAAGGGAGTTCTTAGTCAGAGAAGGCGCCATACCCTGAACTGTGTAGGACGTACCCAATAGCGGCGGGTGTCAGGCGGGTATGCAACTGAGGGGTGGCGGTGGTGGTGGTCGTTAGGGAGCCATCAGTTCCACTCTTCTCCCAGTCAAAAGGGTCACTCTCCATTACTCCAAAGGCCTCGATGCTATTGTCAAACACGGATGTAAGAAGCTAAACCACAAAGAAAAAAAACTAGAGTGAGAAACAATAATATAGGTACATATGTTCTTCCACAACAGAAAGCACACCAGTTCCTTAAAAAGGATTTATAAGATTTCAAAATCCATGGTTCAAAAAAGAAAACAAATTGAGATTATGTGGATGATAAGAAATTAATGTTAATTAATTAATGTTGATTTTGGTACTAGCGTGTAGTATGAAATATTTTATTTATAGAAGATATATAATGCAGCCTTTTATTTATAGTCTACTCTCAGATAGTTTGGTGAAACAAAGTATGTAACATGTGAAAAAAAATATATATCCATATATATTCAGCTGAACCACTTATCTGGCTATTTATTTGTAAAGAGGACATTTTTATAAGGCTCAGCCTAAATAAGTAACCAGTGGTAAGAGCTGGGGTGTCCAAGACAGGGGCATAAAGTAATCCCTTCTTTCTTTCTTTGTGTGTGTGTGTGTGTGTGTGTGTGTGTGTGTGTGTGTGTGTGTGCACGCACATGTGCATTTTGAACATTTGTTTTACATCTATAAGTGCTCCTCTACATGTACACCTGTCCACCAGGAGCGGGCATGAGATCTCAGTATGGATGGTTGTGAGCCACCATGTGATTGCTGGGATTGTACTTGGGACCTCAGGTAGGGCAGACAGCGCTCTTAACCGCTGAGCCATTTGTCTAGCCTGCATGTGCATGTTTTTAAAAACTTCTTTGATGAGCCAGGTGGTGGTGACACACACCTTTTATCAGCACTGGGGAGGCAGAGGTAGGTGGATCTCTGTTAGTTCAAGGCCATCCTGGTCTACAGAGTTCCAGTATAGCCAAAGGTATACAAAGAAACCCTATTTCAACAAACTAAAAAACAAAAATACAAACAAACAAAAACATCCTTTATGTGTATGTATGTGTTTATATATAGAAATAGTCAAATTTATCCTTTTAGTTTGACTTCTTTCATATATAATTTCATTTTTACATATACTTGTCCACATGCACCATTTCTTTTTCTTTTTTTAAAAGATTTTTTTATTATGTATACAGTGTTCTGCCTGCATGCCCGAAGAGGGCACCAGATCTCATTATAAATGGTTGTGAGACACCATGTGGGTGCTGGGAATTGAACTCAGGACTTCTGAAAGAGCAGCCAGCGCTCTTAACCTCTGAGCCATCATTCCAGCCCTATATGCACCATTTTCAATTCCATGAGTATAGCTTTATTCTGTAATCATTTTTTTTTTTTTTTATTCTGCTAGTATCCTTGCCCTCTGGGATCCATTTTTACAGTTCTTGCTCCAGACCTGAAACCAGCATTTCTTGTTGGAGTATTTTGCCCACATATTTGGGGTTTAAAAAGATGACTCTGGCTAGTAAGCAGACAACAAATGCCATAAACAGGGATAATGATAAAAGGTGCTAAGAACCAGTTAGGACCAGTTAGGAGGCTACTTGTCAGTTAAGCCAGCATAGTTACAATGGACATGATAAATGACTTGAATATGATTTGGAAAAGAGCCAAAAGACCCTCTTCACGCAGCTGACAAAGTGTGTGAAAGCAAGGACAGAATAAAGGCTAAGTTAAATTTCTGTCCTAAGCTACCAGATAAACTACAGTGAAATGGAAAATGGTGTTTTCTGTAACTGGGATATTCTGCAGAGAGGGCTGGTAAATCATTAGCATATAAATACTAATATTTATAGTTACTGGGCCAGTTAAGTTTCACTTAGAGACCTCATCAAGGAGGTCTGAAGACAAAGACCTAGGGACCAGAATGTTTGCATAGAAAAGACTGTACAAAGGAAACCAAGGTTGGAAGTGGCCAGTAAAGCTCAAACACTAGAATACAGTGTCCTAGAAAAATAACCCAAGGAAGTGTGTTTCAACAAAGAGCATCAAATGCTGTCACATAAGCCTATCATTCTGAGTATTTAACTGATTTTTCTTTTAATCTATTGTAACCCCCCAAAACCCAGCACATATATGATCTTATTCATCACTGCATCTTCAGGAACAAAAACAATGACTTAAAAATAAGTTACTTTAAAAATATTTCAAGAATACTTATTAGCAAATATATTTACTGAAAGATTTAGATAACTTTAATTTTCACTTAATTACACAAAGGAAAATGATAAAGAAAACAGAAGAATTGGAAAAGGCATGATTATCAGATCTTGGAAATTATTTTGGTGCTAATTTGTTTATGTAGGTACTGTGTTACATAGTTGAGAGTACCCCAGAACATCAGAAGTACAGGGTTACAGAAAACAAGGAGGGCTGGGCCCACAGCTCAGTTGTATAGTACTTCTCTCACATATATGAGGGCCCTGAATCTGATCCTAGAGACCATGCTGCAGAAGGGAGAAAAAATAAAAAGGAAGGAGGCAGGAGGAAAGAGCTGGGGGAAGGAAGAGAAATCCAGAGAGGAAAGGAAGGGAACTGGCACCTAGGATTTTCTTATATTTTTGGTTGTGAGCCTCACTTTCAATGGCTGAGCCATCTCTCCAGCCCATCTAGGATTTTCTAAATCAAGATTGTCATGAATTCTTTCAAAACTTTTATTACTATTATTATTACTAGTGTGTATGTGTGTGTGTGTGTGCACGTGCCATGATGAGCACGTGGTATAAGCCACCACATGCAGTGTAAAGCAGCTCATTTTTGTTAAATGGGGATATACAATAAAATCAATTTAAAGGCACATTATTCAAGATGCAGGAAGGAACAATCAAAAATGAGATTGAGTGATCTGAATTTTTCTATTTCTTCTCTGTAATTTCAAAATGTTTATGTATTTTTCAAATTTAACTAAAATGTTTTTGTTTTGTTTTATTGAGACAGGGTTTCTCTGTGTAACAGTCCTGGCTATCCTAGAAATCACTTTGTAGACCAGGCTGGCCTCGAACTTATAGCTATCAGCCTGCTTTTGCCTCCAGAGTGCTAGAATTAAAGGTGTGAGTTACCACTGCCTGGCTTTAAAATATATTTTCTAAAGTAATTTGGTTCACCACCTAACCACATGCAGCCCCACAAAGATGTTTGATGCTTGTTTCCAGCAGTCTTCAGACAGGAATCAATGGATTAATATTCCTCTTGTCATCAGCACAAAATCCAATCAATAACAGTGTCATTTATCTTCATATGACATTTGAAAGAGAATGGAAACAGGAACTATTGTAGTGTGATATACTGAATTTCACTGAGGATCTTGATTTCTGTATTCTAATTAAATAAATTTAAACTAATGGATTAATAAAGCACTTACCCCAGAGAGTACAATGCAATATTTGCTTGGCTAACTCAAAGATCATTCAATGCAAAAAATTGCCTCATTTTAGTGATATCTAAGTAAATGAAACAGGTAAAAAAAAAAAAATGCATGTTTTTGTTTGTTTGGTTGGTTGGTTTTTTGCTCTTCGGGGTATTTCAACCATATGGAAACAAACCCCAAAGTTGTATTGCACCCATCTTCTGGAGAATACATCTAGCAAGGTAGAGGACAATGAAAGAAAACAATACAGAGCATCAGCTGTTTTCAAGGTTTCTGTGTTTTTTTTTTTTTAATTTAAAGTTTCTTTAATTTAAATTTTATGTGTTTGAGCAATTGCCTGCATTTATGTATGTGTACCATATGTGCCTGGTATCCAAGGAGACCAGAAAAGGCATATGTAACAGTTATCTTTTATTTGCCTGTTTTTAATTGTCTTGGAGGCTTATTGCCTCTGTCGGCTAACCTAGGCCTAGTCCTAGAAGCTTCTAGCCTCCATACAATCTACCTAGGCCTAGAATGTTTTCAGCCTCTGAGACTTACTGCTTAATGAGCTCACCCTTTTTCGTTTTTTTCTGAACTCTGGACTGGCTGGTTCAACTCAGCTGTTCTGGCTCAAACTCCTCTCCCAGTTGACTTATTCAATCTGGCTTCTCTCAGCGCCTGACTTGCTCTGGCCTCAAACTAACTCAAGCAATCCACTCTAATCTCCCGGCTTATTCTCATTCTCTGGCTCATTCAGTTTTCACCTGAGTTCTCTCTCCCTCTGCAACCTGTCTCCCTATTACTGTCCCAGTAAAACTGTCTTCTCTTTCCTCTGTATTACCTCTTAAGTAGCTTCCCTTCACTTTCCCTTCTTGTGAGAACTGGGAATATCCTATTCTGTCAAGTCTTTCTCTGAGTTGTCACTTTTTTGGCTACTCAATTGGACATCAAACTTAGGGACTTCTTCCTACAAACTAACTTTACTTTCATTGTTTGGGATTAAAGGCGTGTACCACCATGCCTGGACCTAAGCTTTCCTTTACCTGAAACTTGCTCTATACCAAATTGACCTTAAACTCAGATCTGCTTGCCTACGTCTCCTGGATTAAAGGCACCTTTGCATCCTACCCAGATCACACAACCCCTGGAACTGGAGATACAGACATCACTCACCAACATGCTGAAGCACAGCCCTAACCATTGGGCCAGCATACAGCTTGGCTGTGGCTTTCATCATAAGGCACAGCACATAGCTTGAGTGTGGCTTTCTTTTATTAAGGTGGTGTCAAACAGCTGGCATTTTAATCAGACCAGCAATGTTTGCTCATAAAAGCTCCTAGCTGGGCTTGTTGACTGCTGATGCTCCTTTACAGAAGAATATACAGTATAATTCTGGAAAGTACCTAGCCACTTCCTCCTTGTTTACATACAAGTTGTATGTAAACTTGTCCTAACAACAGGTAGCCTCCAAGGTAAGAGCTAGAATATACAGAGTGAGGAAGACTAGGGAGAAGGGGTAAGCCACCATCCATACAGAGTGAAGACTTTCTTTCCAGGAGAGTGGCTGTCAGGCCTCTCTCTCTCTCTCTCTCTCTCTCTCTCTCTCTCTCCTGTACCTCCTCACTCCTGTACTATAAGTAAGCCTAATAAAATAAATGTGCTGGTCTCTCAGGGTGAACTCAGGTGAAATTTAACTCTGGTTTGTCAATGACATTGCTTAGTCTTCTCCCATGAAGTCTAA